AGAGTTCTGTAAGGACCTGAAGGTGGTTACTGCTCCTCCGGACATCGTGAAAACGGTCGAGAAGGGCAGAGCAAGTGGTTCGGATCCTGAGTTGAGTGACACTGCAGCTGCGAGGTACAGAGCAGTACTTGGCCGGATTGCATGGTGGGGTCAGTCGAGACCTGACCTGAGTAGGTGGATGTCCATTCTTTCGCAAGGACAGTCCAAGCCAACAGCATGCTTTGAGCAAGCATTGCGACAAGTGATTAGGTTCCTAAAGGGACAATACCATGCATGGCAGTACTTTGGCCCTGATGGGAATGTACCGGACAGTGGGCCGGCGCAGCTGGAAGTGTATGCGGATGCCAGTTGGGCACCCCAAGCGTCGTTAGGACGAAGATCTGTGTCGGGCATAGCCATCTTTTATAGAGGATGCCTGATCAAGGGAATCTCTCGAGTTCAAGGGTGTGTATCGCTGAGTTCTTGTGAAGCCGAGTTGAGAGCCATCTTGACTGCGGTACAGGAGAGTGAGGGACTTGCGACTTTGATCGGTCAGTTGGCCGAGTCAGATGTCACGATCCGATTGCACACTGACAGTTCCTCAGCGAGAGCGGTTTTGCTAAACCGTGGGTTGAGTAGGCGAGTTCGCCACTTAGACATCGCTGTCTGCTATCTTCAGGAGCGGATACAGGAAGCTCAGACCTTGAAGGTCATTTGGTGCCCGACAGCGGGAATGATCGCTGACGTTCTTACAAAGTGCTTGAGTCAAGTGACATTCTGTCAGCACCAGCAAGCTATGGGTATATACCCTGGTGAAGATGTGCAGCAGGTGTGGAGGATCTGTGGAATCCGACCAAGGGTTGGAGTTCAGGCATGCCAGTGTGCCGAGGCAACTGGATGCAGTGTGGAGCAAGTTGGATCGTTGAAAAGTGTGAAAAAGTGTGGCGAAGTTTTTGAAAATTTCCACCTTAGAAGTCCCGAAACCCTTCGTGAAGACTCTTCCCCTGAGGTTCAAGAAATGGATTTATGGTCCAACCGCAAAAGCTTTGGTTCAAGCACCACGGAAGCTAGCCCTAGCCTGGAGCCTGTACCTTTGGTGAAGGACAGGAAAATGGCAGCTGAAGACAGCAGGAAGGGTGAGCAGGGTGCTGAGATGAAAAGCCCCTTTTGGTGTAAGGTTTGCAAATGGTTGTTCAGATCCGAGCATGCTGCCGGGTTGAGCTGGGATGAAAGTGGCAAGCCCAAGTGCGAAAAGTGCAAACAGACTGTGACAGTCTCTGGCACGGATGCAAGCCATGCATTCCATCTCCGAGAGGCAGAGAAGGAGCGCCGAGCTGCTGGAAAAAGGGGTGATAAAGGTGAAAGCCGAGGCTCAGGCCAAGCTGCACCGAAACCCAAGGCCATGCCGAAGGTGATTGAACGGATGGTCGACGTGTTTCCGGAGCTGGCGGATCCAGAGCCGCCGAAGTGGTTCGGTGATGTGTCATGGAGTATCTGCCGGCGCGGAACTCCAGTGGATGAGCTAGAGCTCAAGGACGTGATAGGCACGCTATCCGACAAGGATATGTTGCGCTATCAAAGCTCATACGAGAAGCTGGTGAAGCCCATCCAGGAGGTGTGTGAGCTACAGGAGAAACCCACGAAGATCTTCGGAATCTTGGATGTCCGTGGACAGATTGGTGGCAAGGCCATCATCTGGGAGATGGCAGTGAATGAAGGAGGACTGTACATGGAAGTACCGCCGGGAACGTGTGGCCTGGCGATGTTGAGCTTCGTGAGGTACTTGAAGAGAAAAGGGATAGTCCCTGTTTTGCTTCTGGGTGAGCACCAGGACCTCGGAGTCTTGCGGATGGTGGATCTGTTGTGCATGCTACCCATTTTGGGAGCAGAAAGGATCATGGAGGATGAAGCTGAGAGCTCGTATTATCCCCCATGGGTGTTGCGCTGGAAGAGAAGTGCAAAGGAAGGATCCTTGGTGTTTAAGGAACTGGTGGAGCGAGTGCGAGTGATTTCGATGTTGTCGTGTGATACACTTCGGATTCACGAGCCGGAGCTGAGAGAGAGACCAGTCCCCAAGTGGTCGTTTGTGGCCTACAGCCACTACAGATCCGTGATGGAGTCTGTTGCAGGATTCTTGGAGGACCTGGAGAAAAAGAAAGAGGAGATCACCGACATGCAGAGGGCGGCAAGCTGGAAGAAGGTGGTTGCGAGTGAGACTCGAAGCGGTGTTGTGTGGATCTGCAAGTGTAAGTGGCACTTGCCGACCGACTATGTGGTGAGGTTCAACTTGACGTTGCCTGCCGACATGTGGCAGCAAGCCTTTGGGATCATGGGTGAGAATGTTGGGAAACTCGAGAAGGAGGAAAAGGACCTGAAGCGGATCCTCAAGGCTGCAGCGGAACAGCAAGACCGAGAGTTCGAGGAAGCTGAGCGAAAGCGCAAGCGCATCGCCGACCTGTCAGCTGCCGAGGAAGAAGCTGCTAAGAGAGCAAAGCTGGAAGGCGAAGCGGTTCGCTCGCCTGTGTCAGTTGTACCATCTGAGTTGGATGCAGCAGCTATCGCGCAGATTGCTGAGCGTGTGAAGGCAAGCTTTAGTGTTGCCGATTTGGAGCTGATGTTGGAAGAGAAGAAGAGAAAGGTTGGAGACCAGCCAACTGAGAGGCCTGCGGAGACGCCAGCTGAGCCTAGCCGATCTTCGCAGGATGTGATGATGGAAACGAGGACGGCTGAGTTGGCGGAGATGAAGGAAGCCGCCAAGGAGCGCCGCGCCAAGTTGATGGAGTCAACTGGAGCTGGCGAGAAGAAGGGCGAAGAGGATGAAGAATGAACTGAGATGCTAAGTGATCTCAGTGGTTGGGTGGGTGAGTGAAACCCGCAGCCATTTTTTTTGGAAGCCATGGCCGCGTTGCCGCCATGGAGCGCCCGCGATTTTTCTGGTTAGTGTGAGCCCTTGTTTCAGTGCATGAGAAGTTTGCAAAGAGGAGGCAAAATGATGATGAAACTCAACGAGGGACTCTATAGCCCCTTCTGCAAGGCGTCTGATTGCCACCTCTGAAGACGTTTTTGGCTGATGGTACGCTGGAAGAAGCGAAACTATGAAGCCAATCTTTTCCTGAAGGATCAGCTAGCCGATGCTAGTTGGTGAGTTTGGTGACCTGGAAGATGCGAGACTGAGGAGGAGTACCACGACAAGGTCGAGTGCTGAGTGGGAAACATCTGAAGCTTGCATTAATTCGTTTTCACGTGTTTGTCACCACGAACTCTTGGATTCGTTCCAAGACAACCCTGCCCCAGTGCAGGTGGATGCAAGTTTAATTCGTTTTTCACGTGTTTGGACAACGAACTCTTGGGTTACCAGTGATGTGGACCCAGGACAACCTGCCTGATGGTGGGATCTTGCATGAGTTTTAAGTTTGATGTCAGAGATCGACTGGTGTGTTGTTTGTTTCGTTTGGTGGCGAGTACGCACCAAGGGAATGTGGCCAGGGCATCCCCTTAGTGTTGAAGTGCCGAGCTGGGCTTGGACTTCAGATCTTTGACATGAACCCTCAGCAAAATGCGGGGGGTGGAAGATTGTGGCTGATCAGTGATGTTTTTGTCATGTTTTGGATCAGCTTGTATAGGTTTGTTTTGCTTCGGAGTGATTGGGAATCCGTGTGATCCCATCCTCGATGGTTTATGCCTCGTTGATTTCCAAGGAAATCATACGAGTGTGTTTTTGCCCAATACGCTATTTAAAGTGAGTGTGCAGTGTGTAGGAACTTCGTTCTGAAGCTGAGTTTAAGCTCACAAGAGAGAATTCGTTTAGTTTGTGCACTTCGTGACTTTTGGCTCAAGGCTCAAGTGGCTCTGACTGTGAAAAAGAGAGAGTTGTCCGCACTTGTGTGAGAGGTCAGGGTTCGTGCTTTCAAGGGAAAAGGTACCAGAGGGACCTTCGGTTCTTCACGAAGATTGTTTTGTTCTTGGAAATATCCGTCATGTTAAGTTGCTAAACTTCAAGTTGCTCTTTTTCCTTGAACCGGTAAAGGCGCTGTCGGTAAAACATGAGTCACAAATCCACACATGCTCATCAACCCTTTGGGTTGGTAGGTGGGGTTCCCAGGTAGTAGAAAAACTTTACACCCCGCCTTGATGTTGTGCGAACTGTAAGCTCAACATCACTCTACAGTAATGGGTTTGTAGAAACTGTACAGGTATGTCGTTGGGCTCATCTGGTATTGTGCGATGGCCTCGTTGTGCTCTCTCTATGGAGTCCTTGCACTCGGTGAAAACTGTTCCCACTGCTTCCTCGTGGGTAACACTTCGCTCAGGTAAGCTTGTACTCGTTGTAGCTCACACTGTACGGAAAAGTGAAACATTCCATCATTCACTCACATGGTCCCGGGCCTGCAATTGCCACAAGGACGGTAGTGCAATCTCGCATGCACTGCTGCACTGTAAGTGAATCTCTCTGACCTTTGCACATCTGCACATGTAGGTCGGTGGTATCTCTTGCCATGAGGCGTGTACACATACTGGAGTTGTGCTCGTAGCTGTTCGTCCACATCCTGTGCCATAGGAATGATATTAACCATTCCCCATTCTTGAAATCGCCTTGCAAGCTCTTCGTCATTCACAGATTTGGCTTGCTGGTACTGTACTGATTCCAGGCATCCCATGACCACTGCCTGTCGCTGAATCCTCTGGTGCATCACGGAAATACATATTGACTGCCCTTGCTGTACGTTGAACATCATCCTCATCGGGCGGACAATACTTTTGCACAAATCTTCGAATAGTGAATTCCTCCTGCGGTTCCTGTGGTCCTTCTTCCTGCGGTTCCTGTGGTCCTTCTTCCTGCGGTTCCTGTGGTCCTTCTTCCTGCGGTTCCTGTGGTCCTTCTTCCTGTGGTTCCTGTGGTCCTTCTTCCTGCGGTTCCTGTCGTCCTTCGTTCACCTTCTGCTCGACCATGTAGAACAAGAGTAAAGCGAAAATTCCTCCTAGTAGCACACTGAAAAGAATAATCCATCCACTCACTTCCTTCACATAGATGAAAACAAATTCTCGTTCTTCTCGTTCTCGTCCTCCAAAATCGTCTGGCTGTCCTGCAATCTGAGAAATCATATTCACCATCATTGTCAAGTACATCGCTCTAGCCGTCTTGCTTCCTCGCTCACTCAACAAAGTTGCACGTAGTGCTCGAACTTGGCTTCGGCAAACTTCACCTGCCACATGTTCCATTGCTTCTTCTTTCCCATAACGCTCATGACTTTCTCCATTCCACACCATGGCTCCAATATGGTACATGAGAAATCTCCTTCGAGATACTCCTAAGCGTTTTGTATTCAAGTCGGCAATGTTTAATTTGGTAGGCACTGGCTTTGCTTTGAAGCTGTTGTTCTTCACCCCTCGCTGAAGCCATAATACTCTCAGATCGATATGTTTGAGTCCTCCGACTCCTGTTCGCATCATCCATTGTCTTCCCGCACTTGAATCCATCCGGATTTCCACGAGTAACTTTCCTGCAAGAAACATCCACAACTTCTTCAGTAACATCGCTTCTGATGCTCCTCCTGAGCATGCTAGCACTTCGGACTCTGCCGAACTTAAAGCTGTAGCTTTCTGGGTCCTGCTATACGAAAGTACTGGCACTGCATTCACACACACAATCACTGATGATGTAGACCATCTCGCTTCACGGTCTGATGCCCAATCTGCATCCGTGAATACTTCCATACTGTGTGTTCCTTTCTTTTCTTCGTCTTCTTCTTCTTGCTCTTCTCTTTGATAGATCGCATCCATCATCTTGTTTCCAACCTTTGTGTACTTCAGTAGGAATCCCAGTTGCTCTGTTCCTTGCACATAGAGCAAAGCTTGTTTCAAACAGGTTAACGCTTGTTCCGTTGGCTTCGACATCTTACTTGCCAAACACTTCGTCACATGCTGCAAATCCCATCGGTCTTGGGAAATGTACAACAGTGTGCCCAACGCTGAACGAAACTTCTTGCACTCGTTCTCCTCCAGTTCTTTGGAATTGTCCACTGTTCCAATCAGCTGGTGCTCTGGGGTTTGTCTTGGCTTTCGGTTCCCCAGCTTGTAGAGTCCTCTAAGCTTCTCGTAGTGCTTCTTCGACACTGTCACCAAAATTCCTTCTTCAAGGAACTCATAGGTCCTCTTCAGGTAATGAAGCTGTTCTCCCGATCCCCGGTAGGATGGGAACGGTCCCTCAACTGTGAGCTTGAAAAACTTCTTTAGCTCGCATATCAGCCATCTTCCTTCGCCTTTTGCACCTGCAACTAGCTCGTCGTCGACATGAATCGACACTGCAATCTTCTTCACTCGGTGCTTCAAGATTGAGGGTATCCCAACAAATTGCTCAAATCCCAAACGCTTCAAAATCTCAACCAAATGGGTAAACCATTGTTCTGCCGCTGATCTTTGCCCTGGCAGACACTTCTCCACTTTCCATACGTGGTCTTCATCCAAACCAAGTAGTGTTCGAATCCACGGTGAGATATCAGCATACATCAGAGCTTTCTGCGTGACTTGCAAGAATGCGTCACGAATGTCAAGAACTGTAAGCTCCCAATTGTAGATGAGATGAAAAAGAAACATCATTCGCACTGCTGCGTGTCCTGACGTAGGACTAAAAGTCTCCTCCGTGCTCTGGGCTCCCGCACGGAATTCCCGACACACAATTCTGCATCTACGCTTCCAAACTCCATCTCTCTTTCTCCAATCGAAAACTGTCCTTAGTGTCAGAAACTTACCTTCCTCTGAACACTCTTCCTTCTTGATCGTCTTCACAACCTTCATGTTGGCGAGTTTGTCAAGTTCAGCTTTTCCTGCCTCTGCATCCAATCTTTCAAGTTCCTCTTCGCTGACTTTCGGTGGTCGATCCTCATCTTCTTCTTCTCCTTCACTATCCGCTTCATATTCCTCTTCGCATTCCTTCCAGACTCTTTCTTCCCAAAGGTCATCTTCATGATATCCTGTTTCGTCTTCCTGTTCTTCTACCTGTCCGGCGTACAACGGTGGAAATAGACTTCCTTTCGGACTTCCAGGATCAGCACTTGTAGGTGAACTTTCCGCAGTCTTTTGTTGCTTCGTTGGTGGCTCCTCAGCATCTGCTGTTTTACTAGCTTTCGCAGGTTCCTCTCTTTCTTCTCCTTCAGTTCTCTCTCTTTTGTCCCCCGCCTTGGTTGGAATCCGTTGATGAACTTCGAGGTGTAGGTTGACCACTGCTCAGCAATAGATCACTGATTGTGTCATGCTTTGAACTTTCCACATCAGATCCTGCTTCATCTCCTGCTGGCTCTGGCTCATTTTCTCCTCCTTCTTTCTCTTTGCCTGGTTCTTCCACGATTCTCGGTAACGGTGCCGCATGCGCGGTGTGCCCTAGCCTTGGGGCTTTCTTCGTCCAAGGAGAACCCTGAAGTTGAAGGGTCTCACGTGCGCGCCACGCTGGTTGTGTGCGCCGCACAGATCTTGACGTAAAGATCCCATCTTTTGACGTAATCACGTCCATGTCCCGGTCGTCCTTTCCAACCCATATTCCTCCTGTCCACAAGGATCGATTCTTCACTCCTCCAGGCTTGGCCAGACCAAACACATACTCTCCGAAGGGTAAAATCTGCCCTTGGTATGGTCTCCCGTAGACCAATTGGAAAGCTGTACTCTGCGTCCCTGAGTGTAGGTGGTACCTGTTGAACAACCATGCTGCGTGGTGAATTGCCCACGCTCGTAAAGCATGATCTTCAGGAATCTTTTCCCCAATCCGATCCTCGACCATTTCAATCATCGTGAGGCTTTGTCTCCTGAGGTTCTGAATGTGGCGTTCCACTCTCGCTGTTCTTCCTTTGTGGTAGGGCTTGTTTGGATACTTTCCAGCCTTGTAGCCTAACTTTTGTCGTATTGCTACAATCAAATCCAGTAAGGCTGTTGTCGCTGGCTCCACATCAATCGCAAACAGAACTTCTTCGGAAATGTAGTTCATCTCGAGAGAAAACTTCACCACTTTCTCGGCCAACTTCTTCGTCGGTGCTTTCCCCGGCACTGGAATCGCCCACGAAAATCGAGTCCATGAATCAAGAATGATCAGACTCACACTGCTCTGACCCATGTACATGAAGTCCATCTGGATCACTGGTTTTCCTGGGTCTTCATACTTTGCTTCACTGCTTTGTGGGGTATGGTCCTGTTTCGACTTTGCTGCTGCACAGAAATCACACCATGGTTGCATTGGCATGTGGGTTGCCATATGCTCTTCAATCTCTGCTTCTGTCGGTTCGGGCACTCCGGGTCTTGTTCTTGCTTTGGGCCTTTGCTTCCTCAGCCTGTCTGCAACTTCTTCTGCGTCCTCATCTCTGTCTTCGGTGAGGTAGTTGCACAGTCTCCTGAACATCTTCACCTTTGACCCTGAGACGCTCAAACCCAAATACCGACAACCTTCTCGCAGCTTCTCAATCTCACTCGTTGCTGTGAGTGACTCTCCATTCACCACAATAGTACTTCCCATGTCGAGTTCCAACTCTTGGTGTCCTCCTGCCTTTCCTTGCTGCTTCACAACTCCTTTCGGCACTGGCACCTGCAACTCTTCTGGAGCTCCTCTTTCTCTTCCAAACCATTCTGGCTCCTCTTCCATCTTCTTTTCTTCCTCCTTTGGTGCTTCTTCTGGTGCTACCTCTTCTACCAAGCACTTGTCCAGATACTCTGGTGTCCTGTGCAAGAATGTGAGAATTTCTGATCGAAAAAGCAATCCCGGTATTCGATCTTCCAAGTCGGATTTTCGCTCGAGCAATTCCGTTGCTTCAATCACTTCCCATTCGTTGCCCACCTTCACGATGGTGGTCCTGTACTTCCAAGTACCTGTCGGTGGCTTTACAAACTCAAGTCCAAAATGGCGATGGACTGGCGTTCCATTCGGTAGAAGGCTCCAATCCTTCTCTGGGACTTTACCAAAGTCATAGGCCAAAGTCACCTTGACTGCCCTGACTTGCTCGACTCCTCTAACTTCCGCTGTCAATCTCAAGCTATTCCTCTGGTATTCCACAGGCACCCGTGCCTTACCATCGGGAGATACAAGTTCCCCCGCCTGGGTTTCTTCCCAGGTCTCGCCCCCTTGGCGCTGTTTGCATCCCACTGACACAAACTTCCATCCATTTTTGAGTAGCCTTCCTAAAGACAGCAAGATGTTATTGGTGTCCGACAACACAAAGTCCTCAGTCACACTGCAGCTACTGAACTGCAAAACTGCTCGCCGCATACCTTCAACTCGCATCGCACCCCCTTGTGCGTCCTGCAACCTCAGAGAGGTTGGGGTCGAAACTTCGACGCCTGCATCCGACAATCTTCGTGGTAACAAACTCACATCTGCTCCTGAATCCAAGATCACCACATGTTGCTTTGTGTCCAACTGGACCATTCGCACATTGAGAGGTTCCGATCCTCCCTGACTCAGAGGTTCCAATCCTCCTGGAGGTCCCAATCCTCCTTGAACTCTTTCCAAGCTGTTTTCATACCATTGATACAGCTCATCACTCTCATGATCTTGTTTGTTCTCACTCTCATCCCCGATGGAGCACTCTGGTCCTTGCACCTCTATCCTTCTGGTGAACCAATCACCTTCTTCTTCTGAAACTTCGCTAAGCTCATAGTGCTCTGTGCCGTCAGGTGGTGTGTTCGCAATGTGATGGAAATCAATGTTCCTCACTCTCCTTATCCTGTATTGGCTCGCACTCTGCGACGGAGTAACAGACTCGACTGTCGAGTGGGGTACCTCGGTGCTGGCCTCGCTCGCCTGCACTTCTCGAACATTGCGGTTTGGACACTCGTTCCCCCAATGTCCTCGCTGCTTGCAGAATCGGCAAACATCTCTGTCCAACTTCTTTCCTCCACCTTTCTTTCCTCCTTTGCCATGCTTTCCACCTTTCTTTCCGCCTTTCTTTCCTCCTTTGTGGAAACCTTTGCCTCGTCCTTTCTTTCCTCCTTTGTAGCTTCCTTTTCGTCCACCTTTTCTCCATTGGCGAAATCCTGCTCCAAAGCTTGACCACGAGTAGGATCCTTTTCCTCCTTTGTTTCCCTTGTTGCCTTTGTTTCCTTTTCCTCCTCCTTTCTCGTACACTGCATCCACTTCCATTGGTGCTGGTCCTTGATCTGCATTCGAACTGCTCGCTGTGTTCTGCAAGGTCTTTTGCTTCAACACCGTCTGGTAATCCCAAGTTTTGCTGCTTTGCTCGTATGAAAGAATCGCTTGCTTCACTGACATGTAGTTTGTTCCTTCGGGCATTGTCAAAGTAAGGTGGTCTCGAATCGCCCTCGGTGAACATCGAAGCAAAACTCCCATCAACAAATCTCGATCGTAGGTCTTTCCTGAAGCGATCTCGTACTCCCGAACAAGGTTTTCCAGTGAACCAATCTGCTCCACCATGCTCTTGGCCCCATCGAAGTTGGGAAACATCCCAATCGCTTGACTGAGGGTTAGAGCTCGTTGTTTGGTGGCTGGTTGGTATTCCCAAAGCAAACTTTGATAGAGACGATACCCACATCGCTCCCTGCTCCAATTTCGAGACAGTTGCGTTGCTGCCCCCCGCATATACGAAGTCAGTGTGTGGTAAAGCTTTGTCGAAAGTTCTCTCTCCACTGTAGTGTCGATCGGCGTTGCTCCCAGACTTTCAATCATACTTAGAGCTTCTGAGTACTGCGAATCGGCAAAACCTAGCCAATTCAGAAATTGATGTTTCCAGGTTGTAAAATCCGGTGGATGTTCTCCCGAGGCTTGTGGGTTCCAAACATCTGGTGCCTTGATCGCCTTTGTCGCACTTTCAATCCTTCGGTTCAGATCATCCGAACTGCTTGCTTGTTGCTCCAACCTTTGTAGCGCACTCATTCCAACTTGGGTCGCCCTTGTCAATGCAGTCAGAATTTCAGAAAGTTCTGTGGGTTGTTGGGGTGGTCCATTCTGCTGCATCCCTTGCACTGCAGAAAACTGTAACACGACAAGCACACACAGCATCGCTCCTCTCTGTTGTTTTCTCACACAAGCACACGAACGCAAGTGATCTCTCCGTGCCCCTCTGCTCAAGCGCCTCCGAAAACATGAATGTTGCAATCTCCACAAACATGACTGACGACATGACTGCAAGTGCACTGTCGCTTGCAAACATCCAATGCACAACATGATCGCACCTGATACTCCAAGCATAAGCATCATTGCCATTGCTCCATTGTAATCGAATTGCATAGTCTTGGGGTCGTAGAGGTTCTTTGCTCCTGGAATGCTGGTCCAAATCCACATCACCAATGGATCTCTTGTTCCATTCATAGTCTTGTCGGAGTAGAGGCTCTTGTTTGTACATAGGCCATAGAATTTTGATTCCTCCTGGTAGTCGATCTCTGTTTTCTCCTCCTGGTAGTCGATCTCTGTTTTCTCCTCCTGGTAGTCGATCTCTGCTTTCCTTCTGGTAGTCGACCTCATTGTCCTGACCAATCTCCCCATTCATCTTCCTCACTTCCAGGGTTTGGCTCCTCGCCCCTTTCTCGCATTCTTCTCCTTTCTGTTCTCCTCCAAGGAGAATTCGGGTAGAGCGTAGTGGCTTGCGTTGCTCCCACTCGCTTCGGTGGTGGTCCCTTTGGCTCTGGAGGTGGCGCCTTGCTTCCAGCAGGTCGTTCCTTCGGAGGTGGTCCTCTGGAACTGCTCCCTGGTTCAGCTCTCGCATCTTCCATCCTGGGTTGTAGGGTCCCAGGCCCCGTCCTGGGTTGTAGGGTCCCAGGCCCCGTGTCTCGGCTGGAACTCGCTGTTCCACTGCTTTGGCTTCGCTGGCCATACCTGGCCCGAAAGTATGCAACTCCACGAGCAAATTCCTTGGATTCCCTGGCTCTTGCTTCGTCCCTGAAGGAATTGCACCGGCACGTCTTGCAGCATACTCTTCCTTATTCCGGCGGATGTGTTTCGCCACTGCTGCGTTGCTGGGTTCCCCGTCCAGCGTGTGAAGAGGAAGTTTCGTACCACACGGCATTGGGTCCAGAGGTGGACACTCTGGAGCTCGTTCTTGTCCTGGCGGTGGACACTCTGGAGCTTGCTCTGGTTCTGGGCCCGCTGGTGGTGGCGGTGGCCCTCCTGACTTTGGAAACCGAATTGGCTCCTGCAAGGCTCGCTTCCTTGCTCGCCGTTGGATCCTTTCAGCTTCCGCTGAGAGTGCAGAGAGTCTCTCAGCTACCTACGCCTGCGTTGCTCAGCAGACACTTGCTGCTCTTGCAGCTCCAAGGCGATGTGCCCAGACGAAAGTGTTCTCGGCTCCCTTCTTGGTGTAGGTGGTGCCTCTTGGTACACCATTGTAGTTTCGGGGCTAGAGGAACTAGGACTCCCGATCTCCACTGGCCCGTCTGGTTCTCCTCCTTCCAAGGGAATGTAATCTCTTCCTTCCACCACTGGTCGTTCGGGCTTCTTCTTCGGCTTTGGAGGCATTTAGCTTGGTGCACTTTCCTTCAGCTGCACTGCTTGCTGAAGATCCGTAGCCTTTTCCCATGCCAACACGGTGAATTTTGATCTCCTTTCTTCGTGGCTCCATTTCTTCTTCTTGTATGGGCTCTGCGGGTTCCATCGGCTCCATGGGTTCTGTGAGTTCCATTGGCTCCATGGGTTCTGTGAGTTCCATGGGCTCTGTAGGTTCTGTGGGCTCCATTGGCTCCACAGCATCAGGGTTCCAACCCAAACCATCATCATCACGGCCACGAGGCATGGCTTCGGTCCCGGATGCACAGTGTGCTCCGCTACCATGCTAAACTTCAAGTCGCTCTTTTTCCTTAAACCGGTAAAGGCGCTGTCAGTAAAACACGAGTCACAAATCCACACATGCTCATCAACCCTTTGGGTTGGTAGGTGGGGTTCCCAGGTAGTAGAAAAACTTTACATAAGTACAAAGAGAAGGAAGTTTGGCGCAAACCAAGCTTGTTCAGACAACTTGCTGCACAGACTCTGGTCTGTCGCTCTACTAGGCTTTTTGCTTTATTTGCCGGGTTTCTCATAGAGACAGCACATTTACAGGCTTTGGTGCACGACTCTTCAGTTGCCCGCAAAGGCACAAGCTCAAGGTGCACAGGCCTTTCCGGGTTTGGCGTGCTTGCGGTGCCATGTGCCCACACACTCACTCAAGGTGCACAGGCCCCTCTAGGTCAGACGTGCCCAGGCGCCTGCAAATCACATGTCTATTGTAGCACAGACCGTTGTGGGTTTGTAAGGCGTTTGAGTGAACCCTAAAATGCTGCTTAAAACTTCTTTCCAGATGTGATTAAACCTTGCAAACAGTTGCCAGAACCTTTGCTAGAAGGCCCCCAGAGAGGCATGACAGAATCCACTGCTTCAGCTTAAGAAGGAAGAAGATGCTAAGCAATGGACAACTGCAAGCGCAGAGGCCCTTATTGCAAGACAACTTAACCTGCACCAATCACTTAGCAGCCCGTTCAAAGCAATGCTGCACCACGGGCACAGATATTAAGCAATAGTGTGGGGGGTAGGCTGTAGGCAAGAAACCTCCATCACTGCTCCTTCCAAAGAAGTTTTAAGGCAGCAGTTTTCAAGGTTAATTGCTCTAAGCCCTTAGGGAAGGTTGAAGCAACCTGCGCAGCAGTCAATTTTTTGAGAGCACTTCAAGCAGTTTACCCTAATACACGATGCGGAACTTGTAGCAAAGTGTTCGGCCTGGTTACTTCACATCGCGGATCTTTTCTCTGCGGTGTCGGACTTGCCGAGTGTCATCAATGCCAGTTTTCCTGCAATGCTCAGCTACGCTGACCCAGATTATTGGCTGGGTGCACTTCTGCTCGCATTCGAGTCCCACCAAAAAGGTCCCCTGGAGCGAACGGCCGGGCTGCCCATTGTTATTGGTTTTCCTGAATCTGACAATAAAATTACTGACCTGCAGATCAATGTGCCGTCCGCAGCCATGGTGACCTTCTTAGCTGGCCGCGCTTATCGGTGTCCCAAGTGCCCTACTACCAAATATGTGATGGACGCGCACAGTGGACTGCCACAAGTCACTGGCCAAGCCTCCCAAGAAGCCTTGCAGGCATGGGCCGCAGCTGCTAAGCACACGGACGTGGAAAAGGCCAGACTTGCCCAGCCCAACCTGAATACGTTCCTAGGCATCACGCTGCAGGGCACAGAGACACTTGGGCAAAGGCACTATCAAGAATTTAGGACGGACCTCCCCCCTGCCCATTTCCTTAACGCCATCCGGCTTGCCCTTGCGGCCTCGGTGGCCAACCAAAACATTGAACGCTTTTGGTCAGTTTATAACTTGGAATGGCCTGACACTTCTCACAGAATGGCTGTTTTTCTACGGCGAGTGTTGCCCCTAGAGTGCTTGCTCTCCTCGCCCTTGGCTGCGCCTGTGGAAGTGAACACTGCGGCAGCCTTGCTGGAGGTCGTCAGCATCTCTTCTGAAACTAACGAAGGTCTCCCTGCCCGATGGATGACATGTCGGATGCGGAGGACGAACCCGAGGCACAGGTGAATGATTGGCGCTTCTCGGAGCTGCAAACCACTGACCTTGCAGCTTTGCGAGAAGTGGATGTCTCAGCCGAGTCTCAGCCCCTTTCCGACTGCCAGTCATCTTCGATGCGCATTGGAAAGGAATCAGCGCCACAGGGCCAAAACGTTCCCGCCACTGCTCACAGGGCTGCCATTAAGGGGCTCATGCGGGCTAAACATCCAACCAAGCAGCGACTCAACAGCTTCTGGTTTAAGATGTACTGCCATGGCACCTCCAAGGACCCTGATCCTTCGGCCCTACGTGCGGCAGTTACCTCCTTCCCCTATCAGTATAAGGACGAAGGTGTTGTGCAGTACCGGCAAATCTAGGAAGCTGTCCGGGTGATGTGGCTCGCGGCCCAAACCTCAATGACAAGATACAGAGGTATCCCCATTCCGGACGGCATCCCTAAGTGGGGGGTTGATGAGCAAGAGCTGCCTCCAATGCAGGTTATGCCCAGCCGTACGCGTTCCCATACCACCTTAGATGGCGTAGATGGCCATCGCTCTCGGCGTCCGGACTGGGAGGGCTTCTGGCAATAGACAGCAAGCTGTCATCTGAGGGCTCCTACTGACGCCATGAACGCGCCATTAAGTCCTTTCATGGCAGGCTGCCTAGCGTGATGTGAGCCCTCACATCTTTCTCGCCGATACATGCCGCAAGACGACCTCGGGATATTCTTGGTTTGCAACCCTCTCGTGGTCTATGCCACGGATTGGATCGTGCTTGTCTTCTGTGTGCTCACTGCCTGCACCTGTAAACACCCTTCTGTGTCGGCCCTGCGTTGTGCCTATGGTGACGGGGGGCCTTTCTTTCGTGGTTGCTCCACTGGCCATCTGCCACGGACTGCCCTGGGCCGGTCCTGCCTGGATGTTCCGGCTCTGTCATCGGTAAAACGACCAATCTTCCTTTCCTCTGCCCCCTCTAG